TGTGTTTCATCTCTATGAAGTCAGCAGGGTCATGGTTTGATAGTATGATCTGGTGCTACGGATAGATGTTGGCCACTTACATGCTAGATACTCTGCATGGTGAGGTAGATGTTGTTGTTGTTGTTGTCATTATTTCCAATTTATAGACAAGAATGCTAAGAAGTAAAAAAGTTACGTAACTTGCTTAAGCTCACATAGTAAAAGCCAGAGTTGGAATTTGAACCCAGCTCTGTCTGACTTTGGAGTCTGCACCTTTAACTGCCACATTGTCAAATATTTTAACATAGTTATGCTTTTTATATAAAAAAATATGATCTACATTAATGCCACCAGTAAAAATATATAAGGGAAGGTAAGCATTTTAATCAATTTTTATTTTAAAATAATCATACACATAGTTTAAATTCCAAATGCTACTAAAGGGGTTGATAATGAGAAGTAACGATTACCTTCCCCAAGCATCCCCATGCCCCCTCTGCTGCCCAGAGGAAACCACTTTCAAATATCTGTTTCCTCTGGTATTTACCTCTATGTTTCGTCATTGTATGCTTATGATGCTCTTAGAGGACTTTACTATTTTGGAAATTGTTTATGGCCTGTAATAGGACCTAAGTCATAATAATTATTAATATATATGTTGTTGAGTGCTTTGCTTCCACTTAACATAGATGCAGATTTATCTAACACTCCCCCTATTCCAATTCCTCTCCCTATTCTCCCCAAAAAGTCGTAATTTTTGATTCTCAGTAAATGTCTATGGGGTTAGAACTATGGTAACGCAGCCTGCATTGTCGTACTTAATTCTGCAGTAAGTCATCACTGCAGAGCTGAATGTTGTACTTTAGATTATGTTTCCTTATTTCTACTACTTGTAATTTTCCTGGAATTGTAATAATTACCCAATGCTAAGTATCTCTCCTTTATATTTTCATGTGCTCCATAGTACCCATTAATATTATTTTCCAAATGTCCAAACATTTGAGACAATCAACCAATTTCATTTGTCTCCTGGAGGCCTCCATGCTCTGTCGTTTCTGGACTCACTTAGCCTGGAGCTGCCTTTGCTGCTCTCCTATGTTGAGTCCCCTCCATCCTAGGTCCCAGTATTGACACTGAGATGTGCAAGGCACCCTCATTTCTGCTCCTTTATATGTTATGTGATGCACTCTCTATCCCTATCGATCTATTTTTCTATCTATATTTCACCTTATTGATATTTTCAAAGACTAGTTTTCATTTCATTGATTTCTTTCTACTGTTCATCTGTTTTCTATTTTATTGATTTCCATGATTATTTATATTATTTCCTTAATTCCCATTCTTTTTTGTAGCTTATTAAGGTGGAAACCTAGATTGATAGTTTGAGAATTTCCTTCTGTTCTAAAATAATGACATTTCCCTATTAGCATTGTTTCAGCAGCATTCCAAAAATTTTGATTGATGTATCTTCGTGTTCATTCAGCTCAAAATGTTATTTTCTAACTTAATTTCTGACTTCTTCTTTGGTCCATGTGTTACGTTAAACTATGCTGCTTAATTTTCCAATATTTGATGATTTTCTGGGTATCTCTCCATAAATTACTTTTAGTCTGTATCTGTTCTGGTAAGGGTGTATACTGTGTATGGTTTCAACTTTTTAAACATATGGTGGTTTGTTTCATTGCCCAGAATGGATTTCATCTTGAAAACTGATCTATGTGGGAAGGACCTGAAAGATTGTGTATTCTGCTGCTTCTGGGTGGGATGTTCCAAAAAAGCCAAGCAGTGAGTATTTTCTATGTTGTTGTTAATTTTCCCACTAGTTCTATCAATTAATTTAAAAAAAGAGTATTGCAACCTCCAGCTAGCGGTGGGCTTGTATATTCTCCTTTCAGTTCTGTCAGTTTGGGCTCGTGTATTTAGAAACGCTGTTATAGGTGAGCTCATTTATGAGTCTTATGTCACCTTGATGAACTGGTTTCTTCATCATCATGGAACGTCCCTCCTTATTTCTAGGAATATTCCTTGCTTTGGAGTCTACTTTGCTTAACGCTAATACAGTCACTTCAGCTTTCTTTTGATTGATGTTTACATAGTATATTTTTTCCATATTTACAGCTTTTGCTACCGGTGTCTTTAAAGTGAATTTCTTGGAAAAGCATAATGTTGGGTAATACCTTTTTTCCAATCTGAGCATCTCTGCATTTTATTTAGAATATTTAAGCTACTTGCATTTAATTCTACTGTCAGTTTGGGTGTTAAGTCTACCTCTTTGCTATTGGTTTTCTGCTTCTACCAACTGTCCTTTATTCTATTTTTTCTTTTCCATTGACTTCTTCTGACCTAATTGAGTGTTTTGCTGATTATATATAAATTATATAAATTATTATATATTTATGTCCACTATTAGCTTATTACCTATAGCATTTTTTTTTACTATTACTTAATTATTGTTCTAGGTTTTACTATATTTATCCTTTCTGGATTTGTCCACTTAGAGTAACATGAAAAATTCCTATAGGCAGGTAAACTGGTGCAGTCATTTGGCTTATGGTATGTTCTTCCTTCCTTTCAGGAATCTCAGCAACCATTTGGTGCTGCCTGTTGTCAAATGTCTGGAAAAAGTTACTTCATGTACCTTGTCGGGTTTTCTAGTTGTTTATGGTGTAAATGCAATTCCAGTATGAGTTCACCCTTCATGAGTGGAATTAGAAATCCACTCTAACTTTTAAATAAATATGTTGTGAAATACTTCAGATTCTTAAAAAAGGCTTTTTCACTCATATGGAACTTTTCTTTGCTCATCTATAAGTGGGAATAATAAAAACTAAGTATTAGAGTGGTTTCAAGGTTATTTCATCTAATGACCAATCTGGTTTAGAACTTAGAAAACTTCAGTCAGGGTCAGACAAGTGATTGTCCAGGGGCTTACGTTTACCACTTGACAATTACTCAACAGAATCTACCAAATTAATTCTAGAAGGTAACTTACCAGAAAAAAAAAACTATCTGCTCTTATAAATGATGTTTTCTTCAGTTTTTTCTCATTGGATAGAAAAGAGAAATAAAGAAAAATCATCACAAGAAGATGTGACTCCCAGTGACAGGAGTTGCTTCTCAAGACCCATTTAAACTGCTGTTTTGAATTAGATAAACCAAGATTCCTTCCAGGGACTCTCCTGGGCATCTACATGTAATTACCATCAGCTAAAAATCTTCTCTTCATTGATCATAGGTTGACTCTAAAACTAGACAAACAGTAGGTAGTAATTTGGAAATCAACAGCATAGAAATAGCAAAATGGTGAAGCAATAAGAGAGATGTGATTATTCTAGAGGATACACTTGGTATGAGGAGAGTAAGTGGCCAAGGATCGACTGGCAGCTAAGCACACCAAGATTTAAGGACATGCAAAGAAAGGGATAAGGGAAAATGCCCATTTCTTACTCAAATCATTTTGCTCTTGATCTGTAGGTTGCATTGTACTTTGCTTCTGCTTCTACCTACTCCTAATCTTGATCCAACCTGAACTTTCCCCAAGTCCTTTCAACACAGTGAAGAGAAATAAATCTCAAATTGTTTCTCAGGAGCTGTATTTCACTCAGCATAAACTGCACTCCAGCCAGTGTTTCAAGCTACAAAATTATTCTGGTTCCAATAAACACAAAACCTAAAAAAAAAAATCTTAACTACCTTTAGCTGAACTTTGCCACCTGCTTGGAAACAGAGCTTAATGCCCCCAAAATGCCAGTAAATCAGAAGTACCATACGTACAAACCTGACATCATTATCTTTTAAATGTCACCAGGTGGTCATTGTGTGTAATCAGAACTAAGAATAGCTATCCTAGGACCTCAGGTTCAGTGAAAAAAAAATTTACTAATGAAAATTTACATTTGTAGAGCAGCTGAATATTTGGAAAGTATTTCCATGTATATTATTCCATTTTTTTAACTTTGGAAAATGATATTATAACTCCATGTAATTCTCAAATGTGGATATTGATATGTCACTCAGTCACTGGCAGAGCTCACAATTGTCTGAATCCAAGAAAACATTTGAAGGAGTGAAGAGATAAACAATCAGGAAAAA